AATTGCTAATGACGTAGCAACAGTAATAACTGATGTAATGTTGGATGTTGTTATTGTTGTTGTTGTTGTTGTATATTGAGTTGCATCGTTTTAGCCCTCTGGCGCGGCTTCTGCACAAAGTCAATTGCTGTGTGCTTTGAGTTGCATTATTGCAAGGGCGCGTTTCACCCTTGCAATTTTTCCTATTTTTTTTTTTTGACTGTGTTTTCTTTAAATATATTTTTAATATCAAAGGGTAGTTATTTGGAAAAAGAATTATAAATGATATTTACAATTTTTAAAACGATTTTTTATTACAACACAATAATTTCATTATTTATTTTGTACCAAATATATTATTGGATAACGGATAACTGGTTTTAAGTGCCCAAAAATTAAAACAAAAATATTTTATTGATTTTAATTTTTCTTTTCAATTTAGTATTAAAATAAATAAAATGTTGAACTTAAATTTTTTGATTTAAATTGGCAAGGTTTTAAGTACTCAAAAAGAAAATGAAATTATTTTATTTTAATACTTTTTTTAAAATTTAATTTTGAATATTAATACAAATATAATCTATTTTTTAATTAATTTTTTAATGCATAATAAGAATATTGATATTTAACAAACTAAATTAAAAATATGATTAATTAATTTTATTATTCTACAGTTAGTTTATGATTCTGTTCTAATATAAACACAGCAAGTGAATTTTTTAATACAAACTTTCACATTAAATTAACAAAATTCAAGAAAAATAAAAAAAAATTTTTTTTTATTGATTTCAGTTTCAAGTCTTAATTTAGTTTTTTATATTAAAATAAATAAAATAAATAAAATCATGCAACAAATAATGCCTCTACGAATAGAATAGTTTTGAAATTTAACAATTAAAAAATAAAAAATATAATTAATTAATTAATTCAATTATTCTACAGCTGGTTTATGATTTCGTTCTAATATATAAATACAGCAAGTAAAATTGTTAATAAAAACTTTCATAGCAAAAGTAACAAAACTCCAGCAAAAATATGCGAACATAAAAAGTCAAGTACGGCTTTGGATCAGTTGGTTAAGGTGCGCTGATTCTGAGCTTCATATTTGGCAGGACCCGAGTTCGATTCCTGGTACTTGCAGTCTCAAAAATAATTATTTACGAATAATTAAATATAAGAATTATGTCCAAGACCACTGATGAAGAGTATTTGGCAATACTCGAAACAGCTGTATGGCCAGCCAAAAATTCAATTAATTAAAATAATTTAAAAAATAAATTTTTGTTTTTGTTTCACTTCTGTTCGAAAAGCTCTTTACCTAAATTTTGTATATAATTTGGCAAGATAATGATTAGTGGTTTTAGGTATCCGAAAAAATTTTTTTTTTATTTATTTTAATTTAATTTAATCAATTAGTTTTAATTTTTAATATGAAAATAATTAAAAATTCAAACTATGATATTTTGATATAAATTGATACCATTAATATTTTTGAAGTGTTGTAATTAACTGAGAGTTTTTCTACAGTTCACTATTATATGCAACTTTCTTTAAATAACTATTATTATTGGGTAATACAAAAAGTATTCGCCATTTTTTGTCACTAAAAAGTCTACAAAATTTTGCATTTCATTAAGCAAAACCAACACCTAAGCTGTCAGGTCATAACAGACGTACGTACTAAACAACAACCGTTACAAAAGGTGTCAGGGGCTTCATTATCCCGCATGACAGTTTAAAATTCTTAAAGAAACCAGACTACGCAAAGATGCTCGATATTTGGTTATCAAAACAAAGTTATCGGAATCAAATTTAATTGATCGAATAATCATCAGTGGTACTCTACTGAAATGCAATGAAATCGAACCATTTTTGAAATACGGTAATATCCACCGCAAATAATTATGATCGATAGCTGGTGACCCTCCGTAAATTACCTCAAATCGTGGGTTGATGACAAACAAGTTTGGTGTGTTTTTAATTTGAATTAGAGTTCTCTACTGTTTACAATTCAACCGTCTGAATGACACAATAAAGGAAACGGCACCAGGATTGAGTATTTCATCATTATAATTTTAGGCAACATATATTTTTAATGACAAAAAACTAATTAGTTTACTAATTGTTTACTAAAATGACAAAAAACTAATTGTCTATAATTTTTTTCGATTTCGTTCTTAAATTGATCTTTTTCTTAAATTAATCTTCTTCAACTTTAATTACATTTTTCTACTCTAAAAGCGAACAGATTTTTGTGTTGGAAACATGATATTAGGACTGTACTTTGAAACATTGGAACTGGATAGGCTTTTTTGTTATCTTCATATAAGGAGAAAACACAAGAAACTTGAAAAGACTTGTATTTCTTTTATTAAAAGAATTGTCTCTTGAAAATTGCAAACAGATTTTCAATTAATTTTTGTTCAATTTTACATTTTTGACTTTAAATGTCTTCAGTTGAAATAGTTATTTAAAAACAGACTACCATAAAGCTTTGGTGAGTTGGTATGCTTTGACTGATACCTCTTTGAAATTCCTGAACACAATTTATATTAGTTACTAAAAAAATAATTTTTAATAAAAAAGTAGAAAACTCAACAATATGTAGGCAATATGTATGCAATATGGTCACGTTTCATTAAAAAGGAAGCCAATGTTCATTGAGATGTCCCTTAGAGATTCAGTCTAACGGTACGTTTATTTACAAGACATTAGGAAACTATTTTAGAAGATTGCATTTCTCTTTCAATTTTATCTATCGCAGTTTTGGCGAAATGGCGATAAAAATGCCTTTCATCTTCTTTGTTCTTGCTGCCAAGCACATGCCTTACTACTCTAGAGATTCTCCTTTTTGGAGAATCTTGGTTAGTCACAAGACCTCCCATTAAATAACATATTAAACTTTGCCAAATGTTCTAAGTCTTTTTATACCTTTGTGTTTTTCTCTTATACGGTAAAATAATAGATAAATAGGCCTAAGCGACTCCTTTGGTTCGCCGGTACAGCTACACCTAACCTACTACAACAAATAGTATATGTATTCATTTTTAAGTGTTATTAGCGTTATGATGTTTAGAACCACTAGTCTCATTGTAGTGGTTGGGAACACTACAAGACTACCATTGTCATTAAAATCTATGTGATTCCCCTGTTGAATAATACAAAATCATTATTCAATATTTGAATAAAATAATAATGTTTCAATAATGTTTCAATAATGTTTCAATTTATAATTTAATTAATTAAAATGATTTAAATAATATAAAAGTTTAAATTAATTAATTAATAATTTAACAAAATATATAAAAAACATAACATTCAAATATATTTAAAAATATGTAGTTCATCCTTTAGGTCTTAAATTACTCTTCAAATTTTTATAATATCTTTGTCTTCGCGACATCGTGCTTAAGTTCGTATTTTAAGGACAATTAAGATATCCTCGCAATTCAGGTATTAACATTTTTTTTTTGTTTTACAAAAAACAAAACAACCATTTGAAGGTAATCCTTTGATGTGTAGAGCTCTTCTCAATATATGGAATATACTTAACAAAACATTCAAATGTTCCTTTTGTCGGTAACACCTTGACTGTCATTTAAACGTAACAATGAGGTTTCTTATTCTTTTTCTTGATAAAAACTGTTGCGTATTTTGGAAAAAATTATGAAGCACAGAAGTTAAAGGCATTGGCTTTTGATGTATTCTTCTTCTTCAAGGTGCCTTGTCCGCTTCGAACGTTGGCTAACATGATTGCTATTTTGACTTTATCTACAGCTTCTCGAAAAAGTAATCTTGTACTTTTATCAAACCATTGACGTAAATTCTTCAGCCATGATATTTTTCGTCTTCCCGGTAACGTCTGTCTTCAATTCTGCCTTCAATGATTTATTTTAGTAGTCCGTACTTTTCCGGATGCTTCAGAATATGACCAAAAAACTCTAACTTATGGCGTTTTACTGTCTCTAATATTTCTGTCTCTTTGTTGACACGCCGAAGTACCACTGTATTTGTAATTTTTTCTGTCTAGCTTATTTTCAGCGTACGTCGATAGCACCACATTTCAAAAGCCTCGAGTTTATTCATCGATGTAACAGACAGCGTCCACGCCTCTGTCCCGTAGAGGAGTATAGTGAATATATACCGTCGTAGCATTCTTATTCTGAGCGGTAATGACAGCTCTCGTGTGCACAGCAAGTTTTTCATCTTGATAAAAGAAGACCTTGCTTTTTCAATTCGGACACGTATTTCTTTACTATTATCCCATTGCTCATTAGGCTGGCATCCCAAGTAGTTGTACTTATCGATTCTTCTTATGGGTGAACCAAATACTGTTAATCTTCCTCCAGAAATAGGTCGTTTGACGTATTAGATCAAATTTTTCTATTATTTTTATTATTATGAATACTAGTGACGTGAATTCGTTTAACCACCTTTACTTTGGTCCTATTGTACCACAATCACTCTTAATTACACAAAGCTCTCTAAAGCTTTGTGAATAAGGTCCAGAACTTAATATGGAGAAGAGTTCTTAATCTGTACTGGTGATAGATATTCCAGAAGAAATAAGTTTTTTCTGTGCGCTGTTAAAACTGGACAATCACAAAAAATATTCGTAGTTGTCTTCTCACCTTCTGGGCATAATCTGCATTCCGGAGTAGTAGATAATTGAGGTTTATGTAAATGATATTTCAAACTAAATAGACCCTGAAAGATATTTAAATTTTCCTAAAAACATATTTAATATAAATGTAAATGGAACTTAAAGTTCAAAGAAATTTTTGTGAAGGAATAAAGGACACATATTTTATTTTGTAGTTAGGTTTCGAACAGTAGTAAACTACAACAACAAAAATAATTATTAATTTTTATTATTATTATTATTATTATTATTATTTTTATTTAATTCTCCTTAATGGGTTTTTTGGTAAGTTTTGGTGGCCTAAGCCAGTACAAAATATAACACAATATCTATATATTTATTTAAACTATTTTAACTAGTATTTGATTGGTATTTTAAATTAATTAATATTTAAAAATTTGCGAGTAATATGACAGGAATCAATTATAACACTTTTCTGGATGTCATCAATAATTCGCTGGTTTAATTCAAGTCTTCGAATATGCGACAATAAACTTTTTGGCGTTACACCTTCAGCACTAATTATAATTGGAAGAATTTCAATTTTGTTAAGGTTCCAATTACGTTTTGTTTCCACAGCTAATTCTGCGTATCGACTACATTTCTCAAAATAAGTACGATCCATGTTTTTGGTCATTGGTATTGCAACATCAATGAAGAGTCCTTCTCGACGTCTTTTATCAACAATAGTTATATCTGGTCTATTGTGCAACCTCGTGTGATCGGAATAAATAGTTCGATCGTAATAAATTTTTACGTCTGGATTATCATATACTGCTTGTGGTGTATACTTATAGTATGGAACATTTTCTCTATCAATAAGTCTATATTTATTGCATATTTGCTTATGTAAAATATTAACCACGTTATTGTGTCTCTTTGTATATTCTCTTTGTGCTAAGCATGTACATCCTGCCAGTATGTGATCTACAGTTTCCGTTTGTTCTCCACATTGCCGACATTTATCACTAATTAGCGAAGGGTCTGACATTATAAATTTGCAGTAATTTCTTGTCGGAATTACTTGGTCCTGTATTGCAATCATGAATGCCTCAGTTTCAGCAAATAGTGTTCCACATGTAAGCCATTTGTGCGACATAATTTTATCGACATTGTCGGCGTTAGTGGATCTATAATATCTTCCATGTAGCGGTTTGATTGCCCAAGCTTGCTCTTTACACTGCCGATCTTGTGCTTTTCTTTCAAAAGTTCCTTCCAAATTTAATGGTGTGTAATGCTTGTCTGCTTCGGTTAAAATTTTAAACAAGATATCATTTTCTGCGTTCTTTAAAAAATATTCTCTCATTGATATAATTTGATTGTCGTGTAGTTCTTGTAGATCAATAAGGCCTCTACCTCCTTCCTTTCTAGGCATAGTCATTCGCTCACAACATGACTTTGGATGGTGGAATTTGTATTCTGTGAGCATAGTTCGTATTTTTCGCTGCATCGCTTGTATCTCAGTCGTTGTCCATTGTATTATTCCGAAACAATAAGTCAGAATGGGAATAGCAAAAGTATTGATGGCTTTTATCAAAGATTTACCCTGCAAATTCGTCTTGGCTATCTTATGAATACGTCCTTTAAATTCACTATATACTTTGTCTTTTACAGCTTTATGTGCTATTCTTCTGCTTTGAGATACACCAAGATATTTGTACAGTTCGTCTTCTTCCATGTCTTTAATAATCGATTCATTTTGCTCAAAATTTTCGAATTTAACGATTTTTCCACGAACAATACTGATTTTTCTGCATTTTTCAATGCCAAACTTCATTCTAATGTCATTACTGAAGTCCTCGACTATTTTAATAAGCTTATCTAAGGTTTCTCGCGTCGAAGCATATATCTTTAAATCATCCATATACATGAGATGATTTATTTTACATTCTCGAGAATTGCCTTTAATTTTGAAGCCATACTTTGCGTTCCTTAAGAGATTACTTAGCGGATTTAGCGCCATACAAAACCACAAGGCTGACAGGCAGTCACCCTGAAAAATTCCTTGTCGAATACTTATTTCATCTGTTCGTATGACACCATTTTGAGTGAACATTTCTATGTTTGTTCGCCATCTCGTCATGTTGTGTTCAAGAAAATTAACAATAGTTGAATGAATACCGTATATATTCAGGACTTCAATCAGCCAACTGTGCGGGATACTATCGAAAGCCTTCATGTAATCAATAAAACACATGTGCAGGTTTCTATTTTTCTTAGCTGCTTGTTCCAATATTATTTGGTCAATTATTAGTTGTTCTTTACATCCTTTTGCGTGTTTTTTGCATCCCTTCTGTTCTACGCACATTATATCGTTTTGTGTAAGGTATGTATTTATAAGATCGCCAATACAAGCAGTCAGTATCTTATATATTGTTGGGAGGCAAGTAATTGGACGGCCATTTGCTGGGTTTCCTTTAAATCCATTATTCTTCGCCATTAGATATGTTTTTCCTTTCGTAAAAATGATTGGAAATGTTGCGGGGTTTTGTAGACATTCATTTAAAAGTTCAGTTAATTTTTGATGGACTGCAGTAAATCTTTTAAACCAAAAGTTTTGTATGTGATCTGGTCCAGGAGATTTCCAGTTGTGTGTTTTTGCTATAATTCGTTTGACCTGATCACATGTAATTAGACAAGTTGACATTTTTTTTTCTTGATATTTCTCTTTCTCTTTTTCAATCCAAAGAGCGGATTCATTATGTTTTTGTGTATTGGACCACAGTGAACTCCAGTAATTTTCTGCACTATTCTTACTTGGATATACGTCGTCTGACGTATTGGCATTGGATCGTATTTTTCTATAGAATTGCTTTTCGTTGTTGTTAAAGAGTCTATTGTTTTCTCGTCTTTGATTCGACAACTTGTATTTACGCTGTCTCGCTACTTGTACACATAGTTTCTGTTTTATAGTGTCTCTTGTGTTAATAATATTCGTGTGATTTGTTTCGTAGCGTGTGTGAAGATTGTATGTTTTTAATATCTTATTGATCCTGTTTTTAAGTCTTCTTGTAGGATTACCTTCAATGTACTTATTTATTCTTTCTAAGTCTCCTCTTAAATGATCAATTTTAATTTGTATTCTTCGTAGCGTATTACTCTTATTTCCATAAATTGCAGCTCTTCGTGGTCCATCTCTGGGTTGTCCTATCTTGCATCCCATTGTAGTAGCAATTGTTATAGCTGATACATATACAATAGTATGTAATTCTTGCAAATTGCTCACATTGTTCAATTTTGTCAGGATCGCATCATTGTTAAGTGTTTCAATAAGAAAACTTAGCTTCTTACTAGTATTAATTTTCGGAATGCGTGGCCTTAAAAGAGGGTTAAGGTTACTGTAAATGTCAAATTGTTGTTCAAAAATCTCATTTAAGCTATGCTGATTACTTCTGAGTCTCATTTGTTCATTACTTACATCTTCCTGCTGATCCGTGGTTTCATCGACATCAATTAAATTTACATTTAAAGCAGGAGGTGGTTGTTCATTTTCCACTTCTATCGTATTTACATTATTACGTGTTCCTGGTACATGTACGTTTGTAGAAGTATTAGTTGATTCAAATTGCACTTGCTCATTTTCTGCAGTTTCTGTCGATTGATCATTACTTACTTCGGCAACCGATTCTTTGATAGCGTTTCGTCTTGATTCTGGTATAAGATTGTTTCTATGAATAACCCGTACTTGATCTGCTAGTCGCTGTTCGGATACATTATAGTCCGGATGGTGCCCAACGAATATTGTATGTAGTGTAGTTCGATATGCTGTCATATCTCTTTCATTGTTTGTAGCTATATAGTAGGCGCGTAATAAATCTTCATTTATAGTATTAGTCCATTTTCTGCGCTGTCGTGGTCTGCCAGCCACGGTAAGAGCTATATCGGAATGTATATGCTGTTCACCGGACTGCAAAGGTGTTCTATTTCTGTTGTTCTGTGGCATACTTGTCGAACAGGACCCAGGTACCAAATCCTGCACGCGAGAGTTATGCGATCCCGACGCGGTGGGGTTATCCGATCTCCCCAGATTTACATTATTTTGTGACTGCATTGTGTACTATTTGTTCACACCTCGTAGTACACGGGGTGGTATTTTATACCTACTACCAGGTATATCGTCCAGCCGCTCCTAACATGGAGTCAGACACTGACCTAAAAGCCGCCCATTCTGAGTCAGTCGCTTTAGGTTTTTTATTTAAATCCCAGCCGCACTAAATAGCGAAAACAGACGTTGAGATAGGAGGGTTTTAGAGATTTTGGGGGAGACACTTATTCAAAGGCGGTGTCAGCTCGCCTTGTCGAGGTTGGATTCGAATCTTGTGATCTTTTCTTGGAGATAAAAGAGCCCCTTCGTTTACCCCAATCACATTCATAGACAGCCTCCGCTCATTGTCCGGGACTGCTTATTTAATTTTCATCTTATTCGCAGCTAACCATCATATCTGATGGCCATTCCATTATCCGCAACCTATGGACCCGTCCGCTTGCCTGAGCTCGGCATCCCACGGTACCTTCCAATTCCGTGGGGCGGATTATTATTATTATTATTATTATTATTATTATTATTATTATTATTATTATTATTATTATTATTATTATTATTATTATTATTATTATTATTATTATTATTATTATTATTATTATTATTATTATTATTATTATTATTATTATTATTATTATTATTATTATTATTATTATTATTATTATTATTATTATTTATTATTATTATTATATTATTATTATTATTATTATTATTATTATTATTATTATTATTATTATTATATTATTATTATTATTATTATTATTATTATTATTATTATTATTAATATTATTATTATTATTATTAATTATTATTAATTAATTAATTAATTAATTAATTATTTATTGTATTACTTTAATTAATTTAATTTTTGGCTGACCATATATAGTTGTTCCCAAATACTCACCATCAGTATCTTGTACCAAGGGTTCAACTTTATTTGCTTTATTTGTTAACTAGCAACGAGGGATATTTAACAAATTGTAATTGAAATGTATATAATTTTTAATAGTTAAATTTGTTGTAACAATATAATAGCTGTAGCTATTATATAGATGGATTAAAATGAGTAAATGTTTTTACCTGTCTTCCTGACGTTTCTGCTGTACTAGGATAATAAAAAAACCAAGAGATAAAGTATGCGGTACAAATGACTTAAACTCAAATTGATTACTACTTCATTGTGTATGGCAATGTTTTGGCTGTCAATATGTCTAAGAAAGATAAGCAGAGTTTGATAGAAGATAATGAACAGCCCCTAGATAATGAAGGTAGATCGAAAAAAGAAACATTGAAAAATCAATAAGTCCAGGGCTGGGTGTCTTAGAATAATTTTAGCACCTTTTGTGGTTACTAAAAGAAGAATTTCTGTTATGGAGGTTGCTAAAAATATAAATATGTCATAAGGTTCGTGCGAAATGTCATCAATAGTCGATATACCTATATTTTTCGAGATATGCATTAAAATAATTGTATTGTTGCTTTGCAATTTAGTTCTGAAAAAAAAAAATATGTTAACAGGTAATATATAGTTTAACTTAAATTATTTGAATCAAAACAATTTATACATAAATATAAGTACGAATATTTATGAATGCTTCCAAAATGAACAGATAGACTAAGTAAAATTATGTTTAAGTATGCTTAAATCTTTACCGGTTACTAGTTTCCTATCGTAAGATCACAACTCGAATAATAATAGTTAGAAAAGCACTGTATTCTTTTTATAAAATGGAATAATTTCTAATGTTAATAATGTTGGTATTGGACTGATATTTAAGAAGGATACACTCTACAGTAGATATATATAGATGAGTGACATTTTGTTCTTACTTCTTTGACTTAAAGTAACTATTGTTGTTGTTGAACGGAGTTTCCCCCTGACTCCCTGATGCTTGATCATTAGAGAATGGACTGTCAATATACCGATTGTATTGTATAATTAAAAGCGAGGAGGATTAATCAGCTTTTCTGTTCTTTTGTAATTTTAGCTGGATAATCAAATACTATAGTAGTACAGAGAATATTCTCACAAAACAGTTTTTATTATCAAATTAACTGAAATATACACTGACATTTTGTTTAAAAATTTCGTTTCACAATGTTTCTAGATAAGATCAGGTACTGTCGAAACACTAAGTAGTGGTATAAGAACCGCTTCTCTGTTATAAAAAATGTGAATATTACTGTCAAACATTTCATTACAATTTTCCTTTTAACTGCAATTGAAAATTAGTATTAAAAATCTACCATTTGGAATGATAGTTTTAGGTTAAGTTTGTGGGCCCCCATCCATTTCATTTTAAAGTCAAAAGGCTAGTTTATGTTGAGTTCCTTGAGGAATAGAGCCCAGTCTATCTTTTTTTTTAAGTTTAGAGCCATCTGTGCCAATTTCAAAACATTTAAATGTCACAAAACTTTATTGCCATCTGTACAGTCTTGCTTTCTAAAGGTGTAAGTAAAGAAGTTACGATCAACCAGAAGAGTTATGATACCAATTTAATAAATCGATAAAGTTTTTATCTTTAATAACTGGAATTGATGTGATATGATTCTTTGTCCTTTGTTATTAGTAGTTTACAGACATACTGTTCCACAAACTGTTTCATAAGCATTTTCAAATAATTTGCATGACAGAACAATATTATGGCTAAGAGAGGTTTAGGTATTAATAATGTATTTAAAGACCAAATCATGAATGAAATGGGTCAACATTTTAAACAGAACTACATAGTATCAGCAAAATACCCAACAATATTAGATACTTAAAAATAAGTTCAATACTATAATATATATTAGGTACTCGACAATAAATTATATATTAGAAGGATTCGAACAGTAATGAAGAAACAACAACAAAAGTTAAAATTAATTTATTGAATTTTATTAATTTAAATTTTTGTTGTTGTTTCATTCTTGTTTGAATTCTTTTAACTTATAAATAGTTTGTTTTCATCATAACACACGTCAGATACGACAATATAAATTAATATTTAATAAATTATATATTTTAAGTGTTATTTTGCATCTATAGTATATGGAAACTCTGTCACCACCAATCATTAAGTTCCTTAATGCTTCTGGCTCTTCTCATTATAGGGTACTCTTTTTATCTTATTATGTGATCACATCACCTTGTAGTGATTGTTTTTCTTGCAGCATATAAGTGATCAGGTGAAAATCTATGACAGTTCCTCATTAAATAAGTCTCATTGTATCCAGAACTGATCTTGCAGGATAACCAGCGTGTGTTTTTCTGTCGTGTATGATATCAGTTAATTTATGCAATTTAAACTAAGCTGTGTTTATTCTGTCAGCTATGTCTATATCGTTTTACTCACTTGAAATTGAATTGAGGTTTTGGAATGTCAAAATTGCTGTTATTGTATAATTGTCCATTACGGAACTATCCCGTGACTTTATAGCAGTTTCGTTGCTTGGTAGAAATGTATATTCAGTGTTTTTTTTATATTTAGTTATTCGTTATTTAATTTCCGTTTTAAAGTTACAAATTGGTGTTCAATCAACAAAATTTTCTAAATACAGAAATTATTCAAATGTGTTTTGTTCTGATCTATGTCCGGATATTCTACCTTTCTTGTGTGAGCTTATACCATGTTTTCATTCATCTAATTTAGCCCGTTTTGATCATTAAGGTCGCTAATACCATGTTTCCACTGCTTAGTTAGTCAGTTTGACATAAAAAGTAAATTACATTACCTATAGAAAGAGCTTTCGTGCTTTTTAATGTAGTTGAAAATAAATGAAAGGAAATTAGATCAAAAATGTCGAATGCAACACTTAAAAATTAATATCCCATAAGGGAAATTACCAAAATTTAAAATATTCGTTATGTGTTTTATTTGCAAAATTAAATAAACATGTTTAGCTGTATGTACTAGAAGTATGTACTAGTATATATTAAAGTTTTTTGTTTTCATAAATTAAATATAAAGAGGTTTTCGAACAGAAGTGAAACAACAACAAAAATTTATTTTTTTAAATTATTTTAATTAATTGAAATTTTGGCTGACCATACAGCTGTTTCGAGTATGGCTAAATACCCTTCATCAGTGGTCTTGGAAATAATTCTTATATTTAATTATTCGTAAATAATTATTTTTTAAATATGGAATAGATATATAAAGGAAAGTATGTTAGTGCTATTTTGTTACCTTTTAATAATTATTAATGTTTTGTGATGCTTTATTCATGTTGTGAACAATTTCACAAATATTATATATTAAATTATTCGGATTTTCCGCGTTTTTTATGTTGAATTAATTAAGTTCTGCTAATAATGCAAAATTATTATCTGCTACAATTGTTTTCTTGTAAACAAAGAAAAGCTCTCCTAAAACTTTTACAAAACTTTTTGACATATAAAAGCTTTTTCCCATGGAATAAGTACTTATGTCAATGGAACCGAAAAAATTTTAAAGTTAGTTAAAAAACATACTAAGTAAGCATGATTAGCCCCCATCCGTTTCATTTTAAAGTCAAAAGGATAATATTAAAAGGATATGGTATTAAAGAGCTATTGTATTTGTGTCATACACCTTTTAGGTTAACGTAATGCTTTGCTCCAGTATATCTCTTACTTTGAGACAAACCTAAAGTTTGTCAAACGGTTTTCAAACGCAACTGTTGTTGTTTAATTCATAACAACTCTACACTGTTTAAGTATTATCTCAATAAAACTGCATAATTGAGTATTCAGTATCGATTTCTATATCTTTAAGGTGTAGTATGCAAACAGTGCAGTCTGAAAGCTTTCGTGCATTTGTGTCTTTTTTTGTTTTTGTATATAAGGATAAAGCAACTATATGTATACATGTTCTGTATTATGTTCATTTTCACTATATTATATAGTCGCTTTAATCATCTATACCTTTGACATTTTCCATACTTTAGCTAGTATCTGGTCTGGTTCACAAAGCTCCCTGTTTTTTATTTTTAATTTGTTGAGTTAATTAAAATAGATTTCTGACTTTTTAGTATTTAAAGCACTT